CATTTGATGTGAAAGTGGAAGATGCCCCTCCAGATGTCCAACTTGAGTTGATAGACATCCAGTGCAGTGATGAATTGAAATCACAGTTCAAAAATTCTAATCTCCTCACATTCTACAAAGAACTGCCAGATAAATCATTTCCAAAACTGAAAGACAATGCTCGATTTTGTGCAAGCATGTTTGGCAGTACCTATGTATGCGAACAAGTGTTTTCGCTTATGAATTTAAACAAGTGCAAAACACGGAACAGGTTAACCAAAGAGAATTTGGAAAATCTGGTTGTTTCAACATCTGCCATTACACCAGACATCAAGAAGATTGCTGCCAGCATCCAATCTCAGCCATCGCATTAATCGCTTGGAGGTCCGGCCCCCAGTCAGTAAACTTAACCCTAATTTGGCCCTTCTTCACAAAAGGTTGTGCATCCCTGATTAATATTAATAAAGTACTACGAGGTATACTAGCTAAGATACACAAATATGCCTGTATTACAATATTCCTGCCAAAAAGAGGATATTGTTTTTTCAATATTGATAAATGCTGGAGTATAAGTATTTAACAAATAGCACTGGAAAACTTTTCCATTTTTAAATCAATGTATGCTAGTTTTCACATTGATTTTAACTTTAAACAGGGATAATGCCTGGTTTTACGTTAAAAAAGTAAAGGACAATAAATTGGTACCATGTTAAAATTATAACATTATACTGAAATTTCCTGGGTAGTAAATCATAGTTTATCAGCTATTTCGAATCATCATAAATCTAAACATATTTTACTGCCAACTAAAAGTAAAAAATAGCAAGTAAATATAACAATGAAGATTTCATTGTCTGTTCAATACCAGTTTTGAAATTGGTTTTTTGCTAAAAATGCAATTTACTGTAAACTGATTAATTGGTTTTACTAAAAACAAGTTTTGTTGCCAGCACTAGTCCACACTATTGACTATACTTTTATAAATGTTTCTCAAAGATGCAAATGCATTACACTTCTTAGATTTTCTAACAATCTCACTTTCTCTAACAGTTTAAGATTATGTTCATAAAATTTTCACTCAGTTTTCTAAACTACTAAAATTATATCTATAATTTTAATTGAACATTTTTCTTGTTTTGCATTTCAAATGATTAATATTATCATCATTATTTTAGGTTTATTGGCAAGATATTGGAGGTATGCACGAAGTAAAACAAAAATTGAAAGAAGCAATAGAATGGCCAGTGAAGCATCCCGAAATATTTCAAAAAATGGGATTCCCACAGAGACATGGTATATTGATGTATGGTCCACCTGGGTGTTCTAAAACAATGATTGCCAAAGCATTAGCTACAGAAAGTGAACTTAATTTTATAGCAATTAAAGTATGATTTATTTTTTTTTAAATAATTGTTGATTATTGTTAGTGGATGAAATCTAAGAATGATACATAGTTTTAATTCTGTGTTAAAATTGTTAATGAAGTTCATTCTAGATTTTAAATTTAATTCATTAATTTAGAAATCTGAAATTTTCTAAATTATTTAAATTTAAAATTCATTTCAGATCTTTAATGTTACCACATGATGATGATGATGATATAACAACTCACCTATAGACCAAATTCTGTAATTTAATTAAAAAATTGCATAAATATAGCTAAAAAATTTGATGATTTGATTTATGATTGATAAATTTGGATCTTGGTTGATAAAGATGTTATTTTTAATTTATTTTTGAGCAGCAAATTTATCATTTAGTTTCTTCTACGCTTTTGCAGAATACTCCTTATAAATTTCATTTTATTATATTTTTTTAAAAGACCATCTGTTTGTCAAAGGCTGTGTTTCCATTAAGCAAGTAGCATGACTGCATAAGAAGTATAAAGAATAATGGAATGCTAGAGTCACTGAAGGACTCCAAGTTTTCTTTCATATTGAAATGTCTTTTAGAATTACACATTCCATTATCACATTCCATGGAATTGTAACAGAAATGTTGAGATGGTGTTCTAAAGTTCTCAAGATTTTGGAAATTTTGACCAACTTGTTTATATGATGTTTGTGTTTCAATGGTTATTGTTACTATAAATTTGTAATAAGTGATATATTTAGTACAGAATAGAGATAAATGAATTTTCTCTATTTGTACTAAATATTTAGTTACTTGATACAATTTNATCTGACAATAGTAGTTTTACTAAGCTGTAATAAAAATTACTTTTAATTCAATTTTTACTATTATTAGAAATATTGTAGCATTTTTTCATTTATTTTTATTTTTACATTGGTTTGAGACCTAATGCTGTTGTTGTGTGCTTAATAAACAATAGTGTAAATATGTTTCTAGTAGGTTTTATACAGTATGAACTGGAAAGTGAAAAGAAAGCTGTGATTTACTTTAAGGTGATATTTATCTTATAGCAGTAATCTGGATATAGCCTGTCAAATTTGTTTTTACTCTCTACTATGTGGGCACCAAGAGGTCTTTTCTCTAGCTCATTATGGGTTCAGCCATGCCCACAATGGCACATTTAGGTTGTGAAGCATGTGGCTTTACATATCCATAAAGGCGGCTATACACGATGGGTTAATCCTCAGGAGTAACCATGCATGCCTGATTTTGAGTAATTCCTGGAAGTGTGTGGGGGAAAATTTAACAGTTTCGGCGAACTGTACCGACCACCTGAGTAGAATCGCCCATACTCGTTAGGTTAATTCTCAAAGGATTAACCATGCATGCCTGACCTTTATAATTCCTGGTAGTGTGTGGAGAGAAATTTAACAGTTTTGGCGAACTGTATCGACTACTGGAGTAGAATTGAAAAACCATTTGATTTTCCTGGCGCAGTGTCAGGAACATCTGACTGCGCAGGCCGACCTAAACGTGTGTGAGAACAATGTTTCGTGAATGTTTGGAAGAATTATTTTCTATAACCTTATTAACTTTTATTATTTATAACCTAATAAATTAATTTTTCAGGTTATAAATTATTTTCGGATCAAAAATTTCTTGAGTAAATTAAAATTATAAATAATTTTAATATTTAGAAAACTTCTCAATTCATTTCTTCCGTTTTCATAAAACATCTTGATACTCTATATCATTTTCTTTTACATTTTAAAAAATTTATTGTTTTAATATCCAAGTAAATTAAAACATGACAACTTAAAATAAGACAAAGTTTAATAAATTCTTTTTAATTATTAAATTATAAAATTAATTTGCGATAATAATGTTTACAATTTGTACTAATATCGGATGTGGTTGAGAATTATTAATATATATTCGTCTATAAAATTTAATCCATGAATTTTTTTGGTAGTAAAATCGACTTGCCATTGTCTTTCACTGATAATTGATGCTTTTTAACATAATCTATAGCCCAAGATTTCTCTTTAAAAATTAATTTTGTGATCTGAAATAATTCCATTAAAAAATTATTCATATGAAAAATTAATTTTGTGATCAGTGCTACCCAAACCACCACTACTAGACTTCTATGCATACTTTTCCCCCGCGAGTTTTAATAGAATTTGTTGCCAATAAACATCAGTGGCATAATAATAAACACAATGATGTAGCGAACATAACTGGCGCCTGGGCCACAACACTATATTGACGCCCTTTCACCCTCCAGAAACAAATTTTGTTTTTCTTGGAAACCATTTGGCTCCCCTCTGCAAGTGGCGCCCGGGGCAAGCTGCCCCACCCTCTGCTGAGAGGTTTTCTTTGTTTGTGGGCGATAGGAAATTCTGAAGTTCCTCAAGGTCAGGCAGCCTCAAAGGATTAACTTAACGTGTATAGCTGCCTTAACAGACAATACTCCAAAAAATTTTTGTAGTTTTTTTTCAACTGCCCAGATTCAATCCTGGGTCCTTCAGAGTGGTAAACTGATGCCTTAACTTCCTTGGCCATCTAGCTAGCAACTGCCATAGTGAGATATACCTGTATAAGGCCTGGATTTAGGGGTTAAAGGTAACCTGGTCTAGTAGACTGGACATTGTCTCAGATTCCATGCTAAAATTCACAATACAAATCAAATTACTGTAATTTTCTTTATTATAGCTTGAATTACTTATCCAGTGTATTTGAAATGTTTAGTTATTCAATTAGTAATTTGTTATAAATGNAATAGGTCTGTGTTATAATAAAATTACTGTTTACTAGAGTATAAATGTGATTAGACAAACTGTGCATGGACAGTATATGGGTTCATATTTTAAATCTTTCTCTTGTACATGGGTTTAAAATATATTTCTATGCATTTTTCTTTCATATATGTTTTAAGATTAAGCATTCCAGATAATTTTCATGTTCTATGTTTTCCTCTTTTGTTATCACTTTAATACATTACTATTGAAAAGAAATTGTTATGCTTTTGTATCATAAAAAGGTTTATTTTTGTTTAAATTTTAGTTACTTGCTTATTAATTTAACTTTCAGAAATCAATGCAATTTTCTTTATAGATGATATAATGTTATAAAACAGGTAACTGTTTTTTTCATTTTTTGTGTACCATTTGCTAAATTAAAATAAAGATATGTTGCACTCAGTGGGTGTTTTAATTTTGCAATTACATTGCTAAATAGTTTTAAGATAAAAGGACAATTTCACTTTTATATTAGATATGTAATATATTTAGAGTGGTTTTATGTAATAACAATTAAAATTTTCTAGGGTCCTGAACTGTTTAGTAAATGGGTTGGTGAATCTGAAAGGAATGTGAGAGAAGTATTTCTTAAAGCAAAAAACATGGCTCCTTGTATTATTTTTTTTGATGAGATAGACAGTTTAGCTTCACAGCGTGAAAGGTAAGAAAAATAAGTTGACATAAGTTATTATGCATATAAACTCTATTTTACTAATAAATAAATAATACCTGAAGTATAAAACCCTAGCATGTAAATCATATATTGACTCAAAATCCAACCTAAAATCTGCTCAATTTCCAATTGCTATAATTATATAAATCAATAAAACATGCATTATTAATGCCAAACAATTTCTGAATTATATTGGGTTATATATTACTACTACTATTATTAATTAAATGCTAAGTAATTAGTAGTAGTTACCGGTATTAGTAATGTATAGCTCAATATAATTCAGCAATTGTTTGGCTTTAATATATAACTATTGGGTTTGGATATTTATATTTGCACACATGTATTACGTCTTTCATTGAAATTCTCAAATTCCACTTGATGCATTTTTGCCTTAGGTTTGATTTCTTTCACTGGATGAAATGTAATTATCATTTTAAGATTTACTTTTAAAATGATTTGCTTATGAAATTGTATTTAATATATAAATCAACAGAAATTTATGTAAACTATAATCAATATTAAGTATTTATTATGCTGAAATAAAATTTTCATTTTGATAAGATTTGTCAAATTGAAAAGCTTCTTAATATTTATTCATATAGTACAGGCATGGCAACATACGGCCTGCGGGTTGGATCTGGCCCACGTATTGAATATATGCAGCCCGTGATTAATCTTTCAATATTAGCTATTTAACTTCCAATAATTGTCGAAAGGATATTCCAATAATTGGTCAAAAGTCGATTCTTTATTTTTTGAAAAAATTCCATTGTAGAGATTTACAACTTTTGTTCCATTCTGTGTGATAATGCCAAAATAAAAAAAAAAATGATAAAATTAAAATATTAATATTTATCATAAAATAATGTATGTTAGACAGTAATTCAAGATATACAGGTGATATTCAATTTAACTTAGTAATTCGTCTGCTTTGCTAGAAATATAATACTAATATATTTAAACATTTATTTACTTAAATGAATTTTTTTTGTATTTAACATTTTTTAATTTTAATATTTTGTTTGGCCCGTGTAAAAAGTTTTCTTTCCAATTTGGCCCGAGGGAAAAAACTGTTGGCCATGCCTGATATAGTAGTTCATATTATTTGATTTTGCTTGCTGATTCACATTTAGTTGCTATAATCATTAAGTAGTTAGGACTAATCAAAATATATATATGTGTGAACTGCAGGGGAGGTCGGGGGTCAGTCGCACCTCCCTGTTCTGCAACAGGTTGTTAAACCTGTTCACTGTCAAGATGGTTATTTTACGATAATGGTCCCGAGGGTTGGAACTCTCAAATGTCGGTTGAGTGGAGGGAGAGTATTTGGGGTTGACGATAAGGTGAAGTAAAACATCAACAGCACACCGCTATATATAACAACTAACCTCTAAAAACCAATTTCGGTGTGTTTTCTCCAAAAAAATACAATATCACAAACGTTTTTGAACATAAAGTTCTTCCTCAGGTGAGAAACAGACGAAAAATTGAATAAAATTCGATGGAACACTTTCTGAAAGAGCTCCGTAAAACGATTCGAAAAAACCTCGTGCGTATGACAATATCATTGCACATGCGCCTTCCTCAGAAGTAAAAAATCTCTCTATTAACATCAGTTGTATATAAATGCTTACCACACTACGGATAAAGATAACTCCTCCTTACTGTTAATACACTTATTATTTTGGGAGGTTCTGTATATATATAAATCGCCTCCATCCACCTCAAATGTTCCGTATGTTGCGTGAAGCAGATGATCTTAACCTCAAACATCGGCTGGATGTCCAGATCTGTGGCGTAACACGCCAAAGCTGTTGTAATTCTCTTATGGAGTATGTCCGCTTTAGGTTCTTTCAGTCTCACCCCTAATGAGCGCTTTGTGGAGCCTATGTATATTAAATCCTCATCACATCTGTGATCTTTTAACAGGATGGTATACATTCCAGATAACATGTTTTGGATACCATCCCATTAAAAGATCACAGATGTGATGAGGATTTAATATATGTAGGCTCCACAAAGTGCTCATTAGGGGTGAGACTGAAAGAACATAAAGCGGACATACTCCATAAGAGAATTACAACAGCTTTGGCATGTTACGCCACAGATCTGGACATCCAGCCGATGTTTGAGGTTAAGATCATCTGCTGATTTGCAGATTTGAAGAACATTTGAGGTGGATGGAGGCGATTTATATATATACAGAACCTCCCAAAATAATAAGTGTATTAACAGTAAGGAGGAGTTATCTTTATCCATAGCATGGCAAGCATTTATATACGACTGATGTTAATAGAGAGATTTTTTACTTCTGAGGAAGGCGCATGCGCAACGATATTGTCATACGCATGAGGTTTTTTCGAATCGTTTTACGGAGCTCTTTCAGAAAGTGTTCCATCGAATTTTATTCAATTTTTTGTCTGTTTCTCACCTGAGGAAGAACTTTATGTTCAAAAACGTTTGTGATATTGTATTTTTTTTGGAGAAAATGCACCGACATTGGTTTTTAAAGGTTAGTTGTGATAAGGTGAAGGCCGTATATGAGTAAACAACAAATTTTAACAAATAAACAAGAATTTATTAAAATAAACCAGATTAACAAAGATACAACACAAATCTCGACATTTAATCGCCTAACAGCTCAAGAGAGAGTTTACATGCTTTTTCATACTTCTTTGTAGGGTTCCATGACAATTAAGGAATGTAGGCACGTAAGTGTCCAATAAAAGGTGTCTTTGATCCAACTGAGCACAAACATAAAAGTTCGTGACTCTGGTGACGAATGGATATTGATGTTGGAGAATCGGAATAGTGGCAGGTTCAGAGATTCAACTTGATGTCATCGGTCTGGCTTTCAATAAGAGACTCCCCCAAGAGGGGGTAAGAAATGTCTTTTATAGCTTTTTGTGGGGAATTTCCATCACGTGATCGGATGTTCTATGAGCTAAAGGTTATAGGTGTTCCAGGGACCTAAACAAGGGACGAAAGTTAGGTGCTAACTATAAACTTTTGTGCAAGTCGAGCTGCAAGTTATATGAGGACAATAGAATGTTGATAGTTATGACAGGAAGGTTTACACATTCCCAGCTAAGATCGGTTTTTTCTTCCAATTTGTTACATAAACGAAAGTGAACTAATTACAATTTTTGTTAATAAAATTCTGGATCTCATATTCATAGGGTGTTTTTTTTTAGAGGTATACAAATTTAAAATAAAATAAAACACGTAAAAATAATGTTAATGGCCATGGTGTTGGATTTATTTAAAAGCTAATTTTATGCTATTAGTGTTTAAACATGATTTTGGGCATATGGATGCCATGGCTGGTTCGAATGAAGCGCAATTGGGAAGAACAATTTTCAACCACTTTATTGAGCAACTGGGTCTGTATATCGGCAATAACGCGGCAAATGTTGAGTAACTTACATCCATTAAAAGTCACTGTTTGGTGTGCTTTATGGGCAGCTGGAATCATAGGCCCATATTTCTTTAAAGATGATGCCGGCCAGAACACTACCATCAATGGAGAGCGTTTTTGGAGCCATGATTGCTGACTTCTTCATTCCTCAGTTGAATGGTATTGATGTGGCATAGCTTTGGTTTCAACAAGATGGTGCAACATGCCACACAGTGCATGACACCATCAATTTATTGCAGGAAACATCTGATGAGTGCATAATTTCGCATAATGGACCTGTGAACTGGACTTCACGATTGTGTGATCTCACACGTATGGATTACTTTCTTTGAGGATATGTGAAGTCACTAGTCTACGCCGATAAACCACAGATGCTGGACCACTTGGAAGTCAACATTTGCCGCATTATTGCCGATATACGGCCCCAGTTGCTCGATAAAGTGGTCGAAAATTTGCATACCTCTAAAAAAAACACCCTGTGTGTATATATATATATAAACAATATACATCCTGAAGCTGTATGTATTGATACTAAACCAAATTGATCTCTGTAATTAATTGAGATGATGATATGCTATAATTAATAATTAGAAATTAAGAAATTTGTACTAGAGGTAGATGTTATATGAGAGACCACTAGAGGGGGTTTTAAAATTTTTAATGCAAATTGAAGTGCAAATATCATCTAAAACCTGTTAGTTATATATTAAAGCCAAATTATAGCCAGGTCTGTATTACTATTATTAATAATTAAATGCTGAATAATTATAGGCAGTAGTGATATTCAGCGGGTTCGCACAGGTTCGGTCGAACCCATTGTTAACATTTTCAAAGTTTTTCGAACCTTGTTAAACACACGTAACATTTCTCAGTGGTTTTATTTCTTTTAAAAAATATTAAAATATACGTATTATACTCTGTAAAACTACTAAACTAGAGCCTTATACCATGTTCGCCTTGGTGCGACCTCCCTCGACTGTTTCAATCTCGACTGAAACGAGGCTCAATCGCGATCAACTCAAGAGAGTTCTTGAAACTAAATCCAGTCATAAGAGAGATCCCACAATCCCATGCATGTGAGAAAATACAAGATGGCTGCGGAACACATGTCGTAATAAATTATATACAAAATAAATCATTTTGAACACTTTTTTATTATTTATAAAAATAAGATACAGCTCTGGCATAAACAATGTTAAATTTTAACTGACTTAATTTTGTGAACGCATCTTTTTTATTTATATGGGTATCTTAAGGTCAGTTTTTGTGCTGATGTTGCTAATGCACCATTTGAGCAAAAAAAAAAAAAAAAAAATTGTTAAGGAAAAATTTTCTGTTAGTAAACCCTTTGTTAAATATTTTGAATATCACCACTGATTATAGGGTTAGATGGGAGTTATTGATTTGAGTCCTGCGTCAGGCTAATTCTTTTTTTCCAGAATCTTCTAAATTAAATTAAAATATTAATTTAATTATAATTATTACATTTTACAAAAAAAGCATATAACCTCTCTCTAGTGTCAAATTACTTAGCATTTAATTATTAATAGTAGTAGTAATATAGCTCAATATAATCCAGCAATCATTGGGCTTTCATGTTGAAGTGGATGAGAGCTTGAAAGTGAAGGTTGACTCTAGCTCTGATGTAGCCCCTGAACTATTGTATCAATCGCAAAGTATGAAAGGGGACAAATTGTCAAAGCATTTTTATAGAAGGAAAATTTCGAATATATTGAATATTGAAATTGTATATTATAAAATTTGATGTTGACTTACAAAATATCAACAGTAGTTTATAAAAACAGTTATTTTGATGATATATAAATAAGAATGAAAGAACTTAGTTTTGAAAAATCTTTTCTTATCAATTATTTTTAAACTTTTAATAAGTGACAGCAGAAATATTAATAATACTTTTTGTTTGAAAACATTTTTAATAAAATTGATTATATTTACAGTTCGGAAGGATCAAACGTAGGCAACAGAGTATTGACACAGCTATTGATAGAAATAGATGGAATGGAGCAATTGAAAAATGTTTTCATAGTTTCAGCGACTAACAGACCAGATATGATTGATAAGGTAATTAATTAATTTTAATAATTAGGTTTATAGTATTTTATTTAAATGTTTATTTAATCCCATAAGAAAACTAGTGAAACCAGGTTGAAAAAGTAAAGCTCAGCAAAAACATCTCAGTAGAGGAAACTTTTGAAAGTTGTGGCATAAGAATAGTGGAAGCAGATTTGACAGTAAGACTCAAATATGCTTTATTTTGTGATACTGTTGTAAGATGTTCTAACATTCAGCAAATTAATGTACATGCAATGACTTTAAGGTGCAAAGTAAAGCTCAAAGCCAATAAAAACTCTTTCTAACCTGTTACTGGTGCTTTCTCCTTCTACTAAATTGTAACAAACCAAAATAGCTCTTTACTAATGTTTTTGAACCCTTGATGGTTTTTCTTCAGGTATTTTCGAATCTCTGATGAAAATGCTGCTCGTAAAACTTTAAATTTGAAAATATGTATGTTCGAATCCACGTTTCCTGTTTATGTCATTGTTTGTCATGCACAGTCAATTCCAATATGGCTATCATAAATTACTGTTCATAAGCACTAGCCATGCTACTGATAGCATAATCTCTTCTTTATAATTGATGCATTGATTATCCTTAAGGTTAGCTAAGTATATGCTGGCTGCCTCCAGCCACTTGATATGGTGTATTTGCCATGTGGTGTGGATAATTCTGGCTTTCTTAAATTCGGGGTCTATGCATCAATTATAAAGAAGAGATTATGCTATCAGTAGCGTGGCTAGTGCTTATGAACAGTAATTTATGATAGCCGTATTGGAATTGACTGTGCATGACAAACAATGACGTAAATGGGAAACGTGCATTCGAACATACATATTTTCAAATTTAAAGTTTTATGAGTGGCATTTCCATCAGAGATTCAAAAATACCTGAAGAAGAACCGTCGTTAGGATTTGAAAACATTAGTAAAGAGCTATTTTGGTTTGTTACGATTTAGTAGAAGAAGGAGAACACACCGGTAACAGGTTAGAAAGAGTTTTTATTACTATTCTCTGGTGTTGGGATAAAGATGTGTAAAGCTCAAAGTCTTTTTCTGTGATGATGCTTATTTTTCCTATTTATTATCATGGTAACATTGCTTCATCCAAAACTTCTTGCAGTTGTAGTCTGTGTAAGTGCACTTTATTCACATGTTGAGTCTTGCTGTCAAACCTGCTTTCAGTATTCTTATGCCACAACTTTCAAAAGTCTCCTTTACTTAGATGATTTTGCTGAGCTTAACTTTTTTCAACTTGGTTTCACCAGTTTTTTTAATGAGATTTCTAGTATTTTTCAGTCATCAATAACTTCATAAGAGAATAGTTTTCATGATAATTCTATATTCGTGATAGTCATGTGATAGCCTGCAGATTTTTCTGAAGTCTTTGTATAAATATGAAAAGTTTGATGCAGATCAGGCAAAAAAGCTAAGAACAGAGAGAGAGACAAACATTCTTTTATCTATATATAGTCGTAGACAAAAGATCTCAAAATGTGGAGATTTCCAAAAAACTCAGAGGGTCAAATTTGACACGATTCCAATGCTTTCCTTTCTTATGTATACGTAAGAACTGGAAAAGTAAAATGGGACATTATTTTTATAAGTATTCTATTTTTAAATCATTAGGATTGTATTAATTAATTAATAGATTAAAAGTAATTGCAAAACATCATGTGTGTTAGCTGATTGACCAATAAAATGTTAAAATTTAAAAAATGGATGGACTATAATTTTATAAATGTTCAATACTCAATATTTCAAAATATTAGTCTTTTGGTCCTCATTGCATACACTAAAATTTCATTTAAATTGGTTTATTGGTCTTGGAGATATTAACTGTCAAATTTGGTACTTTAACATTACTTGTGTGGCTGAGCTTTATATAGAGCACTACTGTTCTCCATGATATATCAGGAATTTGTATAAAATTTAAATTGAAACATAAATGATCTAAAACATTATAATTTGATCATCAATTTATATCATGTTCCTATTACTGTAGAGTGTTTGTCCAAAAGCCAGTTATCAGAAACGTCGGTTCATTTCAGTCGGCAAATTTAAATTTTCGCTAGTGCTGTGGTGCTGCAATCTTTGGGTTATTCCAATTTTTTTTTTTTTTTGTTGGTATGTGTGTTTTAGCTGGCAGCACTGGCACTTTTGTGTGATGTTTTTCTGAGGACTGTGTGTCATGCTGAATTGAATATTTTTGATACTAGATCAACTTCTAAAGTACATTTTTTTGCTTTTTATATTTTTCAATATATTTATTTTGTTTGTAAAAAATAAAGAAATAATTTTTAACGATACAATAGCCATGATTATTATTTTAAAAAGTTTACGTTATGCTTAACATCGAAAATTCAATGCGAAGCGACATGCAACGGAGAAAAGTTTCAACATGCGATAGGTTTAATATATTTTTTCGTATATAATTGGTTATCCGAACAACCTCACTCCCCAATTGATTTGGATAAACAATGCTCTACTGTATTACATTAGACAGTAGAAAGTTGATATCTGCATATAACTTAGATTATCAATTCTTTAATTAGCCATACAGAACAGTGAGTAATGATGAAATGTTTTGGTGTAAGAACATTAATTAAAAGAAATTTGCAGGTTTTAAGCAGAGTTTGAAAAAAGAAATGTACGAAAGAGTGGGACTCAAACCCACAACTCCTGCATACTGTGTAGGTGCATTGCCAGTTGGTAATATAATCCAGCAGATTGTTTCACATTTATCAAAGATTGGATTATTAGATGTTTACATATGTATGGTATTATAGTTACTTAATATGAATTTGAAAATTTTATTACAGAAAAAATTTTAAAATATAACAATTTAATTTTGAAAAGTTGAGAATTTATGTATATTTAATTTGGTATGTTTCCTAGGCACTACTGAGACCTGGAAGATTAGACAGCATAATTTATGTTCCATTACCAGATGCAAGTAGTCGAAAAGAAATATTAGAAATTGAAATAAAGAAACGGCCTACATCTTCTGATATAGACGTCTCATTATTAACAAGACGTACAGAAGGATTTTCTGGTGCTGAGGTATTTCAGTGTTCTTTGTTTTTTTGTAATTAACCCATTTTACACTTTTAGATTGTATAATGTAGTCTTAGGAAGGCAATGGCAGAGTCAGGCTCTATTTTGAGACCATCATCTGCTTCAATATGCAAAAACAAAAAATTATTGTGTAAACAGTTATCCCATGTAATGCAGTAGTTAGGTTCTAAAAAAGTGTTGTGTTAAACAAATTACACTGTACAAAACACAGGGTTAGATTTCAAAAGTTAGCAAAAGTGTGCTATTCTTTTTCATAATTTAAGAGAAATATGCTTATTAAAGCAATGAATAATTAGCTAACAATCACAATCAAAAGTATTTCATATTAATACAGTAAAACCTGTCCAAAACAGAACTTGAATAAAATGGAAACCTGTCTAAATGCAAAACTTTCGTTTTCCTTGTTAAAGAAATCTGTTCAAAATGGAAACCTGCCAAAGTGGAAAAAATATTCAATACTTTGAGATTCCAGTTTATGCAGCATAGATTTTACTGAATTAATTTTTTTTACTGCTAAACATCATAAAATGAGGATTTTTTTTTTTAGCACCATATCAGTATCCAAAGATTTTCTGTCGACCTTAATGTTTATTATTGGCAACATCTTGATTTTTCTCAGCATTTTTTCATAAAATCTGATATTTTCGTTTTTGCATTTGCCTAAGAGATCATTAAAAATTTAATCTATAAAATAAAGTACAGCAACAGTCTTTTGGGTTCCTTTAGAGCACTGTCACCAACATCTGGTTTATAGGAAATTTAGACTAGGAAGCTAGGATCAGTTCTCATTAAAGAAAAGAGGGCAAAAGGCAGGAAACAACAATGAAAGTTTAGACACTTAAAATATGTGGGAAAATATGAGACAACACACGATTGCATGAATAAAAAAAATATCGAATACTGGGGCTAGCACTTAAAAATTGTGACGGTTTGACCAGTGAAATTCTCAAACTATATTAGAGCAAAACCATTTTGTATGGTGATATTGAATCTTATCAGTATTATTAGAACACTTATGTACAGTGGAGTAGAGTTCTGGATACGGAAATTTATTCAACTTTTGGAGAAAGGTCTTATCTGCTAGCACTTTTAGTAGTGTAAAACTACCATCATCAGGCGGTACATAAGAAAAAAAAAAGTTCACCAAATTAGGAAGAAACTCAACAAAAAGTTCAAGTGGTTACGCTCAATTACTCACGGAAGACAACAACAAACCATGGAAGTTCCTTATCACAATTTTACTGACATTATGATACCGGAGAATATCCACCAAACCCTAATAAAGGGGCCAAAGTTTATACCTTTTCCTAACCAAAATTATTCACAACTGATACCTCCTATTATTGCAGCCATAAAGAGCACAAAAAGTCCAGATTTGCAACCTAAATTAGATCTTTTTACATTGACTGCTATAGCACCAATGTATTCCCCTAAAACCAAAAGGGCAAATATGAAGACTCCAAAAATGGTAAAATCTTTTCTTGAATCGAATAACTTAAAACTGTTAGTAGCAGACAAAGACAAATGTTTTGTTCTGTGCACAAACAAAGATTTTCTCAATAGAGCTAATGAGTTCCTCAAACATTCCAGATCCATAGTACTAAAACAAGATCTTACTTCTACTGTGTTAAGAAAAGTGCACAAAGTTATTGCATTACCAGGAATTGTAGAATCTTTAGCTGGTCCTCTCAATCCTCCATCAAATGTCGCATGCCCCAGATTATTTTTTGAGGCCAAAACCCATAAACCATCATGGCCACTAAGACCATTGGTCAACAAATGTTCCCATCCCACGTATCATCTTGAAGCTGTGCTAGCAAAACATATCACATCCTTAATCCCACGTTCTGAGCTTGTAACTACAGCCTCCATTGAAGCCAAATGTACCATCTTACAAAAATTAGGAAACTTCCCCTCTAATTCCTACTGATTTTACAAAATCGATGTTATTTCTTTATATCCTTCTGTTCCATATTTCGAGGCCATCATGCTGGCAAATACTCTATTCCTCAATTCTAGTTACCCAGCATCACATGTTTTAACACCTACGTGAAGCTCTTTGCCGTATTACTCAATTATTTCCAATTTAATGGAAAAATATATAAACAAACACAAAGGGTATCAATGGGCTCCCCGTTGTCTCCTATTCTAGCTGAACTGGTCATGAGAAATACAGAACATCGGGTTTTCAATGCCCCTTTAATAATCCAATATCCTCTCATGTATCTAAGGTATGTCGAAAATGTGTTAATTGCATGAGATGGTTCCAACAAGGACTTATTTCAGTTTACTCAAATATTAGCCTCTATTTATCCTACCATTAATTTTACTGTTGAAGAGCAAGAAAACAATAGAATATCTTTCCTGGACTTAGATATACATACATCTCCTGAGCTTATATTTTCTGTCCATCAACAAAATAATAAATCTCCACAAATCATTCCAGCTGCCACCTACCAACCACCATATTACAAAAACTCTGCTATATCTTCGCTAATATGGAGGGCTTACCTTCTCCCTTCTACTCAGATGCTAGTAGTAGATTCATTATTCAATCTACCATGTTAAAAGCAGGTTACTCACACTCAAAATTCATTTTTCTTAAAAATTGTGTAAAAAACAGATTATTTCCACAATCTTTTCTTTCCAATAAAGAAAACTTAAAAATAGCACATCCCCGATACCCTACTTAGGCCCTATCTCATTAAAAATTGCACATCTTTTTAGAAGTAATGGTTATGTTCTACCAATTATACCGCAACCAAATCTAAGAAGACTGCTATGTAATGATAGAGATAAGTACCAGTTGAACGAAAAATCTGGTATCTACAAAATCCTGCTAAAGCACACACTATCTGGTGAAGAGAGTAGTTATGTAGAAGCTACTGCTAGAAAATTAAGTTCACGTATCCATGAACATCAAGAAAACATCAAAAATAACAGGTCAGTTACAGAATTAGCAAAGAAAGTACTCAACCACAACTACCAGCATCTATGGAACAAAATAAAATTACTAAAATGCTGCAACGAACAAAAAGAGCTATTTATTTGGGAGACACTCTACATTTCTACTACCATACTGTGCAACTCCCAGACTTTTGAGCTCCCACAAATTTGGATAACAGCTTTCAAACAACTCAACCCAAGATAAAAATACTCCTTTGTTGCTCATATGCTTATTTTACCTTAGTGTGCATACATGCATTAACTATGCTCTTTTATGGACATTTCTTACTATAATATTTATTATCATTTTTCTACACTCTATGACGTAAGAACCTTTAAATAACATTCGAAAACCATAATCAGCTGAACCGTCAGAAATATCGTTTAATAAAATAACTTACTGGAATATAAATACTTAAAATAATCAAAACACCTTAGTAATTCCAGCAACGAAGTATTTAATAAAATAAAAACGTTTTCGACTATATTTAATAGTCTTCTTCAGTTAAGCCTCTTTAAAACGAANGCTAGAAATATAATACTAATATATTTAAACATTTATTTACTTAAATGAATTTTTTTTGTATTTAACATTTTTTAATTTTAATATTTTGTTTGGCCCGTGTAAAAAGTTTTCTTTCCAATTTGGCCCGAGGGAAAAAACTGTTGGCCATGCCTGATATAGTAGTTCATATTATTTGATTTTGCTTGCTGATTCACATTTAGTTGCTATAATCATTAAGTAGTTAGGACTAATCAAAATATATATATGTGTGAACTGCAGGGGAGGTCGGGGGTCAGTCGCACCTCCCTGTTCTGCAACAGGTTGTTAAACCTGTTCACTGTCAAGATGGTTATTTTACGATAATGGTCCCGAGGGTTGGAACTCTCAAATGTCGGTTGAGTGGAGGGAGAGTATTTGGGGTTGACGATAAGGTGAAGTAAAACATCAACAGCACACCGCTATATATAACAACTAACCTCTAAAAACCAATTTCGGTGTGTTTTCTCCAAAAAAATACAATATCACAAACGTTTTTGAACATAAAGTTCTTCCTCAGGTGAGAAACAGACGAAAAATTGAATAAAATTCGATGGAACACTTTCTGAAAGAGCTCCGTAAAACGATTCGAAAAAACCTCGTGCGTATGACAATATCATTGCACATGCGCCTTCCTCAGAAGTAAAAAATCTCTCTATTAACATCAGTTGTATATAAATGCTTACCACACTACGGATAAAGATAACTCCTCCTTACTGTTAATACACTTATTATTTTGGGAGGTTCTGTATATATATAAATCGCCTCCATCCACCTCAAATGTTCCGTATGTTGCGTGAAGCAGATGATCTTAACCTCAAACATCGGCTGGATGTCCAGATCTGTGGCGTAACACGCCAAAGCTGTTGTAATTCTCTTATGGAGTATGTCCGCTTTAGGTTCTTTCAGTCTCACCCCTAATGAGCGCTTTGTGGAGCCTATGTATATTAAATCCTCATCACATCTGTGATCTTTTAACAGGATGGTATACATTCCAGATAACATGTTTTGGATACCATCCCATTAAAAGATCACAGATGTGATGAGGATTTAATATATGTAGGCTCCACAAAGTGCTCATTAGGGGTGAGACTGAAAGAACATAAAGCGGACATACTCCATAAGAGAATTACAACAGCTTTGGCATGTTACGCCACAGATCTGGACATCCAGCCGATGTTTGAGGTTAAGATCATCTGCTGATTTGCAGATTTGAAGAACATTTGAGGTGGATGGAGGCGATTTATATATATACAGAACCTCCCAAAATAATAAGTGTATTAACAGTAAGGAGGAGTTATCTTTATCCATAGCATGGCAAGCATTTATATACGACTGATGTTAATAGAGAGATTTTTTACTTCTGAGGAAGGCGCATGCGCAACGATATTGTCATACGCATGAGGTTTTTTCGAATCGTTTTACGGAGCTCTTTCAGAAAGTGTTCCATCGAATTTTATTCAATTTTTTGTCTGTTTCTCACCTGAGGAAGAACTTTATGTTCAAAAACGTTTGTGATATTGTATTTTTTTTGGAGAAAATGCACCGACATTGGTTTTTAAAGGTTAGTTGTGATAAGGTGAAGGCCGTATATGAGTAAACAACAAATTTTAACAAATAAACAAGAATTTATTAAAATAAACCAGATTAACAAAGATACAACACAAATCTCGACATTTAATCGCCTAACAGCTCAAGAGAGAGTTTACATGCTTTTTCATACTTCTTTGTAGGGTTCCATGACAATTAAGGAATGTAGGCACGTAAGTGTCCAATAAAAGGTGTCTTTGATCCAACTGAGCACAAACATAAAAGTTCGTGACTCTGGTGACGAATGGATATTGATGTTGGAGAATCGGAATAGTGGCAGGTTCAGAGATTCAACTTGATGTCATCGGTCTGGCTTTCAATAAGAGACTCCCCCAAGAGGGGGGTAAGAAATGTCTTTTATAGCTTTTTGTGGGGAATTTCCATCACGTGATCGGATGTTCTATGAGCTAAAGGTTATAGGTGTTCCAGGGACCTAAACAAGGGACGAAAGTTAGGTGCTAACTATAAACTTTTGTGCAAGTCGAGCTGCAAGTTATATGAGGACAATAGAATGTTGATAGTTATGACAGGAAGGTTTACACATTCCCAGCTAAGATCGGTTTTTTCTTCCAATTTGTTACATAAACGAAAGTGAACTAATTACAATTTTTGTTAATAAAATTCTGGATCTCATATTCATAGGGTGTTTTTTTTTAGAGGTATACAAATTTAAAATAAAATAAAACACGTAAAAATAATGTTAATGGCCATGGTGTTGGATTTATTTAAAAGCTAATTTTATGCTATTAGTGTTTAAACATGATTTTGGGCATATGGATGCCATGGCTGGTTCGAATGAAGCGCAATTGGGAAGAACAATTTTCAACCACTTTATTGAGCAACTGGGTCTGTATATCGGCAATAACGCGGCAAATGTTGAGTAACTTACATCCATTAAAAGTCACTGTTTGGTGTGCTTTATGGGCAGCTGGAATCATAGGCCCATATTTCTTTAAAGATGATGCCGGCCAGAACACTACCATCAATGGAGAGCGTTTTTGGAGCCATGATTGCTGACTTCTTCATTCCTCAGTTGAATGGTATTGATGTGGCATAGCTTTGGTTTCAACAAGATGGTGCAACATGCCACACAGTGCATGACACCATCAATTTATTGCAGGAAACATCTGATGAGTGCATAATTTCGCATAATGGACCTGTGAACTGGACTTCACGATTGTGTGATCTCACACGTATGGATTACTTTCTTTGAGGATATGTGAAGTCACTAGTCTACGCCGATAAACCACAGATGCTGGACCACTTGGAAGTCAACATTTGCCGCATTATTGCCGATATACGGCCCCAGTTGCTCGATAAAGTGGTCGAAAATTTGCATACCTCTAAAAAAAACATCCTGTGTGTATATATATATATAAACAATATACATCCTGAAGCTGTATGTATTGATACTAAACCAAATTGATCTCTGTAATTAATTGAGATGATGATATGCTATAATTAATAATTAGAAATTAAGAAATTTGTACTAGAGGTAGATGTTATATGAGAGACCACTAGAGGGGGTTTTAAAATTTTTAATGCAAATTGAAGTGCAAATATCATCTAAAACCTGTTAGNCCTCTTTGTGGTATGATTTAAGATAAGGTCTTCTCTTCACTCTTTTGATTTAGAAGTACAACCTTGCAAATGTTCTGTTATTTGCCTTACAGAACATTGGTTTTTGTTGCCAATTGAAATATATACCTTTGTTGTTGAGAAGTCACTTTTGTTTTTTGTCAAGAATTTGATGTCACTGTTGAACCCCTTTTCTGCTGAAAAATTTGCTTATTATTGACTTAGCTCTATTTAATTTTTTAGCTATTTCACTTTGGAAAATATTTTCAACTGTC